GAATGTTGGGTGGAATTCTCAAGTGTTCAGTAGCTTCATGGCTTCTTAGTGGCAACGATGCTGCTTAGATTTTTGAGGAGCTACGTGATTCTCGTGGTCAGTCCTGAAAAGGCTGTGAAACCCGTTTCAGTAAGCGGGGCCTTATTTGAGCCCTTGTTAGGGCCAGGCCATGGGGTGTTGGGGAGAGTTAATGGCCAGCTGTGTAACACAGCCCGTTGGGACCAGTGGTTTCCAAACGCCCTCGGATGAAGTGGGAGGGAGCTTCAGAGTGAGTGACGTAATGTTGGAGTTGTGTGCCTTAGCATTTGCCAGTGTCCAAGTATAGTTGCAAGACAATAAACACCAGGAATCTAGAGAAACTTAGAAGAGCATTTTGGCCTAGAGCCACTAACACAATGCCAGCCAGATCGTAAGCATTCCACAACTGGTACATCTCCCTGAGTTGGGGAGATGCTGTTTTACTTTGAAATGCACTGACTTTACTCCTATGAAATATGGTCATGTCTGTCCCAGCTGAACCCTTGGGTTAAGTGTTGCCAAAGATTCACTGTTCTAAAATTAAAGTTATTATTTTAGTAGAAAATCCCTGACTTACAGCTGGCTTAAAAATATTGATTCTATGAACATGTTTCCTCACATACTTACCTTGAGATACATTTAGATATACATTTTAGAGGAGTATTGCTGAAATGAAGGCAGTCTTTGTATATGGGAACTTTTAGAATTTGGTTTGGCTGGTTTAGGTGTGTGTTTTTACCTGCCTTGAATACACGGTTGGGCTAAAGCCAATGTCATCCATGCTTTATGGAGTAGGGATGTGAAGCATCTAGCACATCTATCGTCTGTGCTGAAGGAATGATTTTTCACTGAGAATCCTGGCCCTGCTCCAGGGCCCTCTCTGCTCATGGGGTTCATCTGAGATGGGCCTCTTCTTTGTTCAGGAGTCCTTGTCACAGTCTTAGTTTTTTCACAAGCCAGACACGCTCACCGCTGGTGGACTCATCCCTTTATGTCCGATGGGGTGTGGTCATCTGGTAGCATGGCCCAGCGACACTTGGCCATGAGCCAGTGAGTTCCTTTAAGCTCACCGCCCCACAGCCGTGATCCAACACTCTGGAGAGCAAACAGTATTCAAGAGGAGATCCCTGGACCGCATGCAACCTCTCTACACTTCAGCAGTGTTGTACCTCTTCAGAACGTCTGTCACTGAATTGTGATTTTTAAAAAATTATCAAGATGAGAAACATCCGTATGAATTTGTCACTGAGCCCATGTGGAAGGATATAGTCCAGAACATTGCGCGTCGTATCCCCGTGGCCTCAAAGGACCGACCACCAGTGACAATTTCTGTCTGATCTTAATACCAAGAATTAAGATGAGGGAATTGTGAACTTTGCAATTGCCCTGTTTTCCCTCCCTGAGTTAGTTGTCCCGGAGCTTTCTGTTAAACCGAGACAGTTGTATAGCTCGCTGCCTTTCTTCTTCCCTCTTCACTTTATCTTAACCTTTGGGTTTCTTTTCTTTTTCCAGTAGTCATTTTTGCTATTCTAGTTTAAATTATGTAACTTTTAAAGTTAATCTTGAGCCCTTTGTTGAATAATGATTTAAAAATAAGAAAATGATGAATTTTCTCTAACCTTAACTTCTGAATCATTTAAAAATTTCCGATGACCCACATCCATCCATCCAATAGTGGTTTTTGGACTACGTATGCATACTAAAAACTAAAATCTTCTGGTGCTTATTACATGTAAAATAAATATTCAGGATTCTGACTTGTTCAGGATTTTCATCCAAGACCGCTATGTCGCCCCACCCACAAAAGTTCAGGGTAAGGGGAAACTTCCTGATTCTCCTTGATTCACTAATTATGGAACATTTTGGGGCACTAAATCTCTGTGAACAGTATAACAGTTAACATAGTTATGTATCATTTTATAATTTATAGTGTTTCGTGTTGATTCTCTAATTTTTTAACACCTATCTTTTCAGGTAGGTGTTAAATAAGGTAGATGATCTTATGTCCTTATTTTTCCTGTTGAGTTTCAGAATGGGTAATTTACTTGCGCAAGATCACATAATTAGTCAGTAATAGAGTCTGGTACATGAAGTAGGGTATTTTGAAGGGAAGTATCCTTTTCTCTATATATTTTGATTCTTAGAGCTTATAAGGACTTAACAACAACAGGATGCCCCTTATGAGTGTTTCTTGAAGGTGAAAAAGGAAGTTCTGGTCTGGCAGACTTTTCAGGGAAAGGACACAATATTTCTGACAGCTGCCATGTTTCCTTGTACATCAGACTGTAGGGCTGGAGCTACAGGACTGCTCAGCCCTGTCTGTTTTCGCAGGGATATTAAGCCTGTGATTAGCTTTGGGAGTTCTTTCCCCACCTCCAGCACACACTTCCCTGTGAAAACTGGTTACTTGACGCCTGACACAGAAATAGACTCTGAGTTGAGGATGAATAGGACTGAGTCAGAGAAACTCAGTTCATCCAGTGTCCGCTTTCCTAGGGGTTATCTTAACACAGTGTGAGCAGGCCGACTGGTACTTCCAGATTTCGCCTGCGTGGCTTGTGTGTGTGTGTGAGCTGTGGCACATTGAGTAGCTCACACTCTTCCAGCTGGGGATTCATTCATTCCGCTCTTTTTGTCTCACAACAAATCTAAGGTGACTCGTTTCCTCCAACTTATAGCAAAGTCCCTGTTTCAGGTGAGTTAGGCGTCATGCTTTAAGGAAGCCCTGATCATAGTGGCCCTTCTGTGGCATACTCCTTAAGGTTTACAAGTGTTATTCAATTATAGTGGAAACAATACCTACCATTTATTGAGAACTGACCATGGCGTAGGCACTAAGCTAATCATGTGACATAGGTGACCTCATTTAACAGCCCTGTCAGTTGCAGACTATCATCCCCATTTGTAAAGGGGTAAAGTGACCTTTAGAGTTTGCCTCATATGACCCCACATATAAGTAGGTGTGAAACTGGGATGTGACCTGATGTGCAGGCCATAGGACTCCAGCCTTGAACTCCCAACAATGTGCTTGGTGCATAGCCGCCTCCCGTTGAAATTGAATTCTTTGCAGCTCTTGAAGAAGACCCAGAATCCTGGTAGTTCTCGAGTTGCCATGACATACAGTCACAACGCCATGGAGGAGCGAACCCATTTCCAGGCAAAATGAGTTCCTTATTGGCACATGGCAACCTTATAGAATGTCTGCTGATCGCAAAAGAACACATGTGGGGCCCTTCATTAGTCCGCATCGTTGGTCAATGCCACAGCCAGGGGCACGGGTGAAGTTTTTCCACCAAAATCAGAAAAAAATGATACCCAAGAAACAGTTTTTCCTGCATGTTTGATAAATAATGCCCTGTAACTTTCCCCCTCCTTCTCTATGGAACTTTTCTGCTCAGGGATTAGAAGAATACAGAGAGAGAAAACTTTTCGTTCTGGTAGCTAGAATATGTACTTTTTTTTTTTAAGTATAAAAGTGCATTATCAGCCTCTGTGTGCAGGTGGAAGGACAGCCGCCCGCAGGCCCCGTTTGCCAGCAAGAATCCAGCCTTGCAAATTATTGGCAGCTGGCGCTATAATGAGTCCATTTCAATATAAATGGGCTGGTGCTTATTAATTTCTGCCAGTTCCTAAGCAATTCAGGAACTGCTTTGAAAATTCGGAAATTTGCAGAGAGCAGCTTAAGGAGGATGCCCAGGGAAAGAGAGCGCACAGGAGAGCTATGGGGGAATTATGGAAAGGGCATGTATTTCGGGGTAATAATGGGGTACTGCTGCGAACTCGCACTCCTTCCCCTGTAAGCATGAGTCACCAGCTTCATGGTTAAATAGCGTGTTTTCCAAGATAAGAAGGAACAGTAACTTCGCTCATTGTTCTGTTCTCTAGGTCCAAAAAAATGTATATACATTTTAAGAAAGGAAAAGACTATTAAAATTGTAATCCTCAATATATACCGACAACAAAAGATGAATACAAGTCACGGTAGACTTCTGCAATGACAAGAGGTGCTCAAAGTGGTTCCCATCAGCGTCCATACACTTGATTACGGCGAACTACTGCTTGAGCAATGTCGACCAGGGTGTCCACTTGCGTACATGTTTTTGGCACCCCCGGTATATTTATTCATTGCCACTGTGTGGTCACCTTCCACAGAGGAGACAGTTTCCTCTGTGGCCCTGTTCCAAGGGTTTGTCACCTGGCTGAAACCTCCCACAGTGGGTGGCAGCAGTGGGCAGCTCCATGGAGGAGTGTCTAGTGGGAGAGTAATCAGGTGCAGCCACCCCAAGGGACCTTCATGTCTTTGTCCTTTCTTAGTTTTTGCAATCTCGCCTCACTCAGATGACAGGCTTTAAGGGGGGAGGGGAAAAAAAAGAAAAAGACTATTAATAATACTGCTTGTTCTTGGAGCTGCCCTTGTCAGTTTATTTTCTGAGTTAAGTAACGGTTTGGATAGTTTACCTAAATTCTTTCCTGTGCACCTGCTTCACGAGTTTCCTCTGAAGTTGAAGTTTGACAGCTTAAGAAAATATGGGCATGATGAGAAAGTGTGTATTTAAGCTGGTCTTCTGTATGACTGTCTTTTAGCATTTTCTTCAACTTCTGTTAGAGAGCTCAACTTTGAGAATAACTGAGAGTCCCTTGTTTCATTTTATTTATCTCGGTTTGTTGAGACCCTTTTAAAACTAAGAGAGAATCATGGAGGTCATGTCATAGTGACCTGCTTCTGTTGTCTGATCTCTCAGTCTATAAGGATAGGTGAAAATGATGAAATAAACTTGAAAGGCTCCTTTTTACTATAAATGTAAATATGCTCATATTTATTTATCTGATTATGTATGTCATTTTATACCTGTAGCTAAGTGTGCATTGTTTGATTGGGGGGTGTGGTATTTCACGCAAAATGGATGTTGGAGCATTGATGAAAATGCCTACTTCCTGTGTTCTGGCTGACCTTTCCCCCCCTCTTTTTCTGTCCTCTCCAGGTTTTTGGCGCATTCTCATAGACCCAGATGAGACCTTGATAGCCATCCCGAGGGGCAGGTGCTGATACATTTCCCAGCCCCAGCCACTGTTCATCCTGACACCATTTCCAATCTCAGGATCTAAATGCCACAGTGCTCCTGGGGCACGTTGGGCTGGGAACCACTGTTGCCTTGTAAGGTAAGCGTGCGTATGTACATCTGAGCCTGTATACGTGTGCGTGAGTTACTGGAAATGCTGCAAAGGTGCTGGGTGGGACAGATTTTAATATCATTGGAATTGCTGTGTTGTATGTGGCTCGTGGGAAAAAGAATTTGGAATCACTTCTTTGGATTAAGGTTACACCCATCTGACAATTCAAAAGCATTAGCATTTTCAATTAAAAAAAAAAGAAAGCGAGAAAAAGCAGGTACCTATGAAGTCTTTTTTCCCCTGTGAATTGCCCTCAGGATCTTTTAAATTTATCCCCAAGCTTCATCATCTTTATGTGGGATTATGTTTGAAAAAGGCAAACCTCCCTTCAAAATCTTACTTCAAAACAATGATATATTTTGTTTCTGGTTTGGATAATCTTTAAAAAGCAAAATAAATACAGCCAAAATAATAATCTTTCTAAATCAAAGATCATCTTTTATTTGTTGCAAGACTCTCCTGTGTAGTTTCTTGTGTTAGGGGTATTTGTGTGTGACTTGGCGAACCGCTTTTCATGGGTTTGTAAAGATTTAGCGAAAACTTTCAGAACTTTGTCTCAGTTTAATCTTAGCTCTTGTTCGCCGCCTGTATTCAAGCTCAGCCTCCAGTAGGGAAAAAACAGGCTTGAAACCAAGACCTCCCACTGGAATCTAATTTTAAATTTGCAATCTGTTGTCTTGTAATTTTTCCCTTCAAATTTAACTTTGAAATAAATACATTTCATCCTTTCTCCTGCAGTTTTGGAGGTCTGTTTTCAAGTCATAGAAGGGTAATCATTACGTGTATTTTAATGTTGTGAAATACCTCAGGGTAATGAAAAATTTTATTATTAATAATTATAATTTATATACATCATTAAGTGCCTTATGTTTGGATTTTGATGCCTTCAGCAATGACAGAGAAACCTTGCTTTCATAGTTAACTTTTGGCTGGAATATGATATGAATTGGGTCATCTTGGGCTCACCCCATTAATGGGCTCTAACGTTTTATATTTATGAAGTGCCCTTGTTCTAAGGCAATCTGAATGCTGAGCATTTCCAATGAGAAGAGCTGTGCTAAAACTTTAGTTTATTCAGATGACCAATACAATGACCAGTAAGGCATAGTCCTTGCCACCGGGAGATTATAATAAAATGGGAAGGGCGTAGCTATTGTACAAAGCAAGGTAAGGGTGTCGCTGTGCAAATAATCATGTCACAGACACAATGATGTGAGGAGGTCAGTCAAGATGGATTGGAATGTAGAGAGAATGATTAAATTCAAGCTAGATAGTATTTTCTTTGTCTTAGGTAATTTCCCCAAACCATCTGTTTCAAGTTTGGGTTTGGTGCTGTTCTGTTGTAGCTGTCAGCAGAGGGCCCACCTCCTTATTTTCTTTAATGATCCAAATACCCAGGGACTGAAAACATGTCAACATATTCTACTTATTTCTCTTTCCTTAAAGTGAATTATAGGTTTAGTGTAGAAACTTTAGAAACTACAAAACTGTATAATTTTGAGAATTAAAATTATTCATAATCACTTTATCCAGAATACTTACTTTAAAATTTTTTTACACAGGTCTAGTGTGTGTGTGTGTGTGTGTGTGTTTGTGTAAGTGAAATATTGTTAATATTCTTAAAGAAAATTTTAATCTGCTCAAAGCCAGTATCTTGGATGTACATGTCAAATTTAAGATTTTTACTTCCTGAGAATAAGAAGAGCTTTGCTCTAGAGACGTTTGACCCTAATACCAAAATCACCTTTTGACTAACTACTGAACAGGGTGAGCCCTGGCAGGCTGCCTCATAGGCTGGGCTTTGGTCACGTGGAACTTGCCTGTTCTCCAGTTAAAGGGTGGGGCGCTCTGTGTGTTTGTAGTACTGCTTGCACTTCTGGTCTCGTCTAGGGAATTAGACCTCTGAAACCATAAAAGTATTATTATAACCTCCTTAGTCCTTGAGGTGATGAGTTATTTCCAGATTCCCTTATAACTTCTTTCTCTTGCTCTTGCCTCTGAACAATCTGAAGTTACAGTAGTATTTTTCTTTGTTTTCTCTGTTCAGAGACTTTGACCATGGGGTGGCTTTCTATTAACTGGAATGTTTTCTCATGCAGTATTGAGAAAATATAACATCAGGATGATTAAAAAATACAGCTTACATGTTATAGCTTGGATCATACAGGTTTTACCTTTCTTTTTTGTGCTCTATTTCTCTACTCATGTACAATAATTGATGTTCCTAATGATCTTGTATAGATATTGCAAGCACTTGAGTTCATCATTTATTTCAAGAGTGTTTACCTTTACTCAGGGAGCAGGGTTGTAACAGCTGTTTTGAAAGTCTTTGATAATTTCAACCTCTGGGTTACCTTGGGGTTGATGTGTATTGATTGCCTTTTCCCTTGAGAACTGGTTAGATTTTCTTCGTTCTTTGGAATACCTCGTGGATGTTTTGAGCATTGTGTTGGAAGACTCCAGATGCTGTTAAAATCATCTGGAGAATGTTGATTTTTCTTTTTTGCTGTTTTAGCAGGCAAACAACCTGGCTAGGTTCAGATTGGAAGTTAGTTCTCTCTGACCTCTGGTGGGTGGTGGCTCTAATCAGTTCAGTTTTCAAAGCCTTTGCTCTGCTGCTTTGGGTTTGTCCCACACATGTCCCACCTGGGGGTATATCTGGGGTGTGGACCATCGTTTATATCATAATTCAGTGTTCAAAGCCTATGCTGTCTCACTTTGGGTCTGTCCCAGGCATGTGCATCTAAGTGGTGAGCCTGCGACTTAATGGGATTTATACACAGCATAGACAACTTGCTTCTGCAGCTCTTTTTTCACTGAGATCCCCCATTTCTTTGGCTTGCAGGGACCACTCTTCATGGTTCCTTTGGCCAGAATGACAGGTGTGTCTCAGGAGTTTTTGCTGCCTGTTCCACAGCTGCACTGGGTGCTCACCCTCCGTGCAAGGCTGGGAGAAAAATTAGAATAATAAAAACAAAAAAACGGGCAATTCACTCTTGTATGAGTGCCTTCTTCAGCTTTTGACTCCCTTCCCCAATCCACCTGCTTTGGCGTACTCTTCAGAATGCTCTGGTAGTTGCTTTTTATTTGGTCCAGAATTTTTAGTGTTTATTGGTGGCGGGAAGGTCAGCCACAGTGCCTCACTCCATCTCGGCTGGCACCAGATATTAGGAGTTCTGTTTTGTCCTGACTTTATTAAGACAGAAGTTCCATCTCTAGTGAATCAATTCTACCTCTCTAACCTCACTGGGGACCATTGGCTTGTGTTTGCTTGGTATTTCCTGGTAACATTGGGCTAGATGATACCCAATACATGCTTATGTTTTATTGCCTCGTGTGTTCAAATTATACTAGAATGTTTTAGATGACTTTCGGCTTTAAAAGGGGATGAAAAATGCTTAATTTTGAAGAATCCTCACTTTTAAACAAAATTTCATTTAACCAGAATCTATTCCAGTTATTAAGGCTTTCTTTATTTTAACTTTTTATTTAGAAACAATTTTAGATTCACAGGAAATTGTACACAGGACGTATACCCTTTATCTAGTTTCCCATATTGGTTGCCTCTTACATAAGTTTAGTAAACTACCAAAGCCAAGAATTTGACATTTTTGTTCAATTATACCATTTTATCACGTAAGGCTTAGTAGGCTAATCAATTTATAAAAGCAGCCCCTGAGAAGTGACACCTATTGGTGTATGTATGAAATACCCTAATGACTGTTTGTAATTAGCATAAAGTTCTCTAAGATACCTTTTAACTCTTTGTGTATTTAATTTGATGAGATTTAAAGGAAGTTAGAAATGATAACTTGAAACGTTTAACTCATCACTTTAAGAGAAAGATCATGGTGTTGGGAAAAATGGAAAAGTCACACTAGTGTCCTTATCTCATGCCCTGAGATCTTCAGACCCTGTGACTTTCAGATGACCCCTACTCATCAGGACACTATGTCTCCTTTGCCCCCATTTTCTCTGGCCCATCTTAGGCTGAGCAGATCCACACACTCTACGCCGACAGTGGGGGGAGGTGCCCCCTCACCTCCAAACCCCTTTCCTAACCTCTGCAGGGATGGCTCCAAAAAGAAGCAGATGATAGGACTCGAGGGCAAACATTAAGGGACTAAGTAAGAGAGGAGCAAGTCCTCGATTCTTTGTGCAGGTAACCTGGTGTTGGGGAGCACAGCAGAGCACGAACTCCTCAACTCAGTTCATCTATCAGGGTGATCCTAAACCCAGTGGTCTGGAATGGGGGACCTGCACAGGTTGCAGGGGGAAGGTGCCCGGACAGCAGAGGGCAACCCAGGCCCTCTTCTATAGAAGAGCCAGCCTACTTGTGACTGATGTGTGTTTTCTCTGGTTCACATTGTGGGAACATTCTTGTCTGGGTTGGTTTTCTTTTGTAGTTGTATGATGTTTTTCACATCCTGAAATTTATTTAATCAATTAATTAAATCAATTAAAGTTGATTTTGTTGTTCGTTCATTCTGTATATTTTTACGAGCACCTACTACTTGTCAGGCAGTGTTCTAGGCACTGAGGATACAGCAGCGAACAAGACAAGCAAAGCGTGCGGACTTCCTTGAGGCTTAGGTTCTAGTGGGGCAGGACTGAGAATAAAAAAGATAAGTGAAATATATTGTTTGTTACAATTGTCATAAATACTAAGAGCAGGGGAGGGGAGAGACAAAACAGAGGGACAAGAAGTGTTAGGCTCTGTGGGAGGGGCTGTCATTTTGGATAGAGGTGCCCGGAAAGGCCTCCCTGAGATCTGAATCAAGATCTGAATGAACTGGAGACAGTAAGCCCACTAGATGCCTGAAAGAAGGGTAGCAGGCAGCGAGGGGACCATGGGCATAGGCCCTGGGGCAGGCCAGGGAAGGCAGACCTTAACGTTGAAAACAGAGTATGAGAAGCCAGATTTGAGGTTTAAATACTGAGAGTTGTTCTTTCACTAAAACCTCGCCCGCTTAATACCTTCTCACTAACTACCACTTAAAGTGTAAGCTATCTGAAACCAGTAACATTCCACGTTAGTAAGTCGTGGCCGGAACCTGAGAGGTTAATGGGTTGAAAACTGGTAATGTTGTCCGGTTTGAGGTCGAACACCGTTTTTCTAACACTCGTCTTTCCAATTTCTGCCCTGGTTTTTGCATTTCAGTGTGTCCTCCCCCTTCATCTTCTCGCTCTTACTTAGTGACTGTGTGCTTATGTCGGCGAGGTCCTGGTCACTGACCTTTTGCTTTTGTTACGAAAGCGCATGAACATTCATTGACTCCTTATCATGAGGAGAACACGCGAGTCTCTGTAGAGGTGAAAATAAAGTCAAAGCCGCTTTCTAACCCAAAGTTGCTTCTGGGCTCCCAGGAACAAACAGGCCGGTGCAAATGTAAAATATAAATCGGGGTTTAAAAGAAATTTTTTTTTAATATAAAAATAAATGATAAGGGTTAAGTAGGAGCAAACAGGGAGAAATTAAGAAGCTGAAAGTAGCTGGTTTACGAGTGTACGTGAAAAGCATGAGAATTGTCAGTTCCCCACCGAAAATGTGGGGCTGGAGTTGTCCCCCAAAGGGGGAGATTATGGCTGTTGTACGCAATGAACGCTCTTAATTTTTCATGCTTATGTTGTTTCAGAGTCCTCCACAAACCCCACATGGGCCTTTAAGGGTCTCACTGACCTTTCAGGAACAGCTTTCAAATTAGGGGGTTTCAGCAGTCCCTAGAAACGTATTTTTCTAAACTTGAGTTGCTTCAGACTTCCTGCTGACGCTGCTTAGGTCATCCCCTGAGAAGTTCTCTTGGTAGGATTTAGGAGATTTGGCATTCATCTCTAAATTCTAGTTCTGAAGATAAAAATGGCTGCTTTCCTACCTTGGCTGGCTGAACAGAATCTTGCTACTAAAAATGCTATTAATATCACAGAACTATCAGGATGATGCATGGAGTGCTGTAATTCCTGAAGCTTGGGGCCATTTCCTTTAGGAAACCTCTCCTGAGGCTTTTAACTTGATTAGTTTTCTGTTGGCAGAAACAAGCCTGACCAGAAATTTGTTGTTGAGACTATATCTGTCAATTTATATTTGCAAACTTTTGATACATGTCACAGAGGAGAGTACACCCTAGCATATTTGAGGTGACAGTTTTGCCTTTCTTTCACTCAGGGTCTCACCATAATTCTTTCCCCCTTTTAAATTTAAATCTGTGATTTCTTAAAATGGGACTGTGGCTTACACTTGTTCTAAGTTTTATATTATTTATTGGCAAAACATATAGGCACATAGACACATCCGGGTAGCTTAATGTATACTTAAAAAACAAAATCAAGAACTCTTAGGAAATTATCATGGCAGTTAGTGTTACTGAAATGCTTATGTATTTCTTTTGCTTTAAAAAAATGCAGCCTATGATATTCTTAGGGATATAGATAACATAAATGGTCATGTGTGGACAGCTGATCTTTTCATTTTCCCCCTATTGAGTTGAGTTTTTAGTTTTTATTTCCTTGCCTTTTAAAGATGCCAGCCAGAGTCATGGACTTATGGCTTTGAAATATACTTGCTCATGGTAAAAAGGGGAGTCCCTGTCTTGGAAAATTCTCTCTGTGAATCACATGATGATGTTTGTGACCTGGTAGGGAATACTCCACTATGGGAATAGCTTAACATCTGGTGTCTGTGTGAGTTATTCCTGAACTCAATGGAACATTAAGTGGAGGTTTTCCCTTCCTGTTGCCACACATTTCATTTCAGTAAAGATGTGCTTGCGAGAGTTTAAGCAACATTTCCGGCTGAACAGTGGGATTATGGAGTGATTCCTGGATCAGTGCGAAAGGTGTATTCTATTCCAGCGTGTTTCCAACTGTAACGGTCACAGTGAATTCATTCTGTGTTTCTCTCTGGCGCCTGTCACTTTTTTGTTGATTGTATGCCTTCCCTGGCTAGAATATCATGTTCGTGAGAGTAGGGGACGTGCCTCTTCCATTCACTGCTATGTCTCTGGCTTCTAGGACATGGTAGGTGCTCAGTATACATTTTCTGAATGAATAACTATGTAGGTGTGTGAAAGAATCAGCTCAGGAATATGCCCAGCTGCTATATTTTTCTCCTTTCCTTTTGGGCCATTTTCGTGTGCCTATCTTAAGTGCATACGATTTGAAGTGTAGAGAAACCTCTTGCAGAGCAAGGAGAATAGGCTAAATAGAATCACGATTGTTGACCTTTGAAGAGTTTTCTATTTCCCCCTTTGGGTAACAGTCATCAGGTCAGTGAGAGAGACTAGAAAAATGCTAAGGAGGGACTTGAATTAACCTGGGCAGTGCTAAAAGGCTGAATCACATTTAGTGGTTTTACAGTGTGGATTTCTGTTTGCAGGGCACTCTGTACCAGATTGATGTTCTCAGGTTGGATTTGCTCCCAGAAATAAACCCGTTAGTCTGCTGCTAAGCAGGGAGCCAGGGTTTCTATTTTGTTTTGCCCATCCCCTTCTCCCACCTCCCACTTCACACCCCCTCCACACTAAAAATCAGGGTTTTCAGAATGCTGTGGAGTTAAAGGTGAACGCCCTTTGATCTATTTGGAAGAGTTGATCAGACTTACATCTTGAGTATTTTTTCGTTTTTGATTGATTTTGAAGTGTACATAGGGTCTGAATGAAGCAGGAACGCCATTGGGAGGGAGGGAGGTTATCCAATGTACCTCCGATTTTTGTTTTGTTTTTCGAAATTCATAATTTTAAACAGAAAATGACTCCTTGGGCAGACTCCTTGGTTTGTCATTTTCAAGTTTTCCAGTTTATGGATAGGAGTAGAACTTTATAAACTAAATATATAACTATGGGAAGGAAGGCAAGGGTCGCCAGCCTCTGAAAGCATTCTAGCCTGATAAGTGGGCAGCTACCCTCCAGGCAAAGACACGTGTAAGTCTCCAATGATCTTCTCTACGCTCTTATTTCATATCCCCGGAGGGGTAATTTCAGTAGATGTTAGTTCTCTCACCTGCCACAGTGTAAGAGTCCCAGTACCTGCCAGGTGCGGGTAGGATGCCGCCATTACCTGCCAGGCTGTTTGCCCCGCCCTGAAGGCGGAGCTCTTTCTGTTAAACCACCCAGAACCATTCGTGACTCAATTATCCCCTCCTTTCTTTCTTTCTTTTTTTTTTTTTCTTTGCTGCAGACCGAAAAACCATGGGAAACGCAGAAAGTCAAAATGTAGAGCATGAGTTTTATGGAGAAAAGCATGCCAGCCTGGGGCGCAAGCACACGTCGCGCTCGCTGCGCCTGTCGCACAAGGCGCGGCGGACGAGGCACGCTTCCTCGGGGAAGGTGATCCACCGGAACTCCGAAGTGAGCACCCGATCCAGCAGCACCCCCAGCATCCCCCAGTCCCTGGCCGAAAATGGTCTGGAGCCCTTCTCCCAGGAAGGCACCCTGGAGGACTTCGGGGGCCCCATTTGGGTGGACCGAGTGGATATGGGCTTAAGACCCGTGTCGTACACCGATTCCTCTGTCACTCCCAGCGTAGACAGCAGCATCGTCCTCACAGCAGCCTCTGTGCAAAGCATGCCAGACTCGGAGGAGAGCAGGCTTTACGGAGATGACGCTACATATTTGGCTGAGGGAGGCAGGAGACAGCATCCCTATACATCCAACGGGCCCACGTTCATGGAGACGGCGAGCTTTAAGAAGAAACGCTCCAAATCTGCAGACATCTGGCGGGAGGACAGCCTGGAATTCTCACTCTCTGATCTGAGCCAAGAACATTTAACAAGCAACGAAGAAATCTTGGGTTCCGCGGAAGAGAAAGACTGCGAGGAGCCTCGGGGGATGGAAACCCGGGCGAGTCCCGGGCAGCTCAGTGCCTGTCCGCGTGCCAATTCCCTGAGTGACTTGTACGCTCAGAAAAACTCTGAAGTGATGGCAAATGGGGGGCCGAGGAGCAAATTTGCAGGCTACTGTCGGAATTTGGTGTCTGATATTCCCGATCTTGCAAACCATAAGATGTCACCAGCTGCTGCTGAAGAGGCACTTCCCTACAGTAATTATAACACACTTCCCTGTAGGAAATCTCACTGTCTCTCTGAAGGTGCCACCAACCCACAAATTAGCCATAGCAACAGCATGCAAGGCAGAAGAGCAAAAACAACTCAGGTAAAGTGACTGAAGTCTCTTTCAATATTTGGGAAATGGTGCATGACGTTATAGGTGCATGAGTTTGCTCTTGTAAGATTCCCGTCTCTTGCCGGCTTTCCCCCAGTGTGCCTGGTGGCGGCTGCAGCTGAGGCTGCTTCTTGGAGGCTTCGCCTCTGTTCTGCTTTACCCCTCTTTCAGTTCTGTGCTTAAGGGGTGGGGATTAAGGAAAGAGTGGGTGGGGGGATGATGCGATAAGAATGGGAATAAAGCTGATAAGTTCATACTGAGGAACTGCCTCTCCAACTCGGATTTTGCAACAGCAGCTTGCCTAGTCTAAGCTTCCTTTCTAACGTGGTCCTGTCAGTGGACAGATGGCGGTGGTGAGTTGTGGACTCTCGGAGCTTACTTCCTCCGTGCCACAGGTGGGAGGAGGTTAGTCGGAAGCTCGCTGGAGGAGGTGTTTTGGATTCAGGGTGGGCTCTGGTCATCTGTCAGCTTCTCTGGGAAGTTGGCAGGCTCCCTGCCTTACCAGGAGCCATTTCAATTTCCTGCTCCTTGCGATGCAGTCCAGCCCTGTCCCTGGAGGGAGGTGAACGGAAGGAGTAACATGGGTGGGTTCCACTTTGCAGCCAACTAGTTGTTTGACCTTGGGCAAACGCTGACCTCTAGTTGCTCCTCTGTAAAAAGGGGGTTGGGGGTTAAAAATGTTCAGCTTGCCTGTTTTGGGTCTAGGGCATGAGAAAGCAGGTGTGAAAACATTTTTCAAAGATTTTTAAAAGTGTCTCACGAATGAAAGGAAGACCCGTCCCCTTAATTGAGAATGATAATTAGCATGAGAATAATAACACGTCAAGCAGGCCGCATGCCATGGTCCTCTTTGGGTCCTGCTGCTCTCCGCGGTGCAGTGCCAGGAGCCCTGGCTGGTACTGAGGGTGGGTGGGTGGTGTGCAGGATGGGGCTTCAGATCAGAAACCCAGATTGGGCCCATTTGCCGTGAAGAGGTGTGTCGCCGCCAGGGTGTGCAGGGAACAGCGCTGCGGTCAGTGGGAACGCAGAAGGAGCGCTCTGGCCTGGCCAGTAGGGGATGGTGCTGCGCCTCTGGCCGGGCTGCAGTGCTAGTCAGAGAGGCATTTCCAGATTAAGTTTCCCTGGAAAATGGGTCTGATATAACGGGTAGACAGTGGAGAACCTGGGGAGGGGAGAGGATATTGGCATGATGACAGTCGGGCTCCTAACCAAAACTGGGTGTTTGTTTGTTTTTTTAATTTTCAAAATCTCAGGTTTTTAATTTTATTTTGGAATTTTAAAGCCCCATATATAAGTCATCTGGGGATACAGATTATTTTTTTTTACCAGTCTAGATTCGTTTATTAGAATAATTAAAATTTATTATATATTCTTCCAGGTTTATATAGATTATAGGAGTCTGTGTTTGACCTTTTCTGCTTTTAAAAAAAAGTTATCTTTAATTGTGGTAAAATACACGTAACATTTACCATATTAACCATTTGTAACATTTGTTCAGGGGTAGGAAGCACATTCACACTGTTGTGCAGCCATCACCACCATCCAGAACTTTTTTCATCTTGCAGAACTGAAACTCTACCCACAAAACACCAACTCCCCATTCTCCATCCCCCACAGCCCCTGGCAACCACCACTTCACTTTCTGTCTCTATGGATTTGACTCCTCTAGGTCCCTCATATAAGTGGGATCATTATAATATTTGTCTTTTTTGTGACTGGCTTCTTTCACTTAGTACAATGTCCTCAAGGTTCATCCATGTTTTAGCATGTGTCAGATTTCTTCCCTTCTTAAGGCTGAATAATATTCCATTGTATGATATACCACTTAAAAAAAAATCCATTCATCCATTGGAGGGCACGTTTTGCTGGTCGTGTCCAAGCCAGGCAACCTGGCTCTACCTCCTCTTACTTGGGTGACCTTGGGCAAAATTTTTAATTCTCTTGAAGCTTTAACTTCTTCATTTGTTAAATGGGGATAATAAGGCTTTTTGAGAAAATGAAATACCATGTGAAGCCCAGGGCCTGGTCCTTTGGAAACAGCAGTAAGGGAAATTTGATTAGTTGTTGTAATCTTCATTTTTATTAGGGATCTTATATTGGTTGAGGTCGCATGGTAGTTTGGTGTTTACATCAAAATTTTGTGTCCTAGAAACAAGGTTGTTAAAAGGCTGACTGCTCTGAGAAGGTGACTATGAAGCTGGTTTCTAGATGCACTACCTGCGTTTTTACCCGTCTTTTTATTGAAGCAAGATTGTCATGATAGACATGACTGAATAGCCCCCCTGTGGCCCCCCTGCCTACCCTGTGTGGGCTATCCCTGCACTATCAATTGGACAGGTCGGGAGACCCGTGACATAGGTGACCTATTACAGGATTGCCTCAAGGGCACTGAACACTCTGTCTTGAAGACGTTGCCAGGTTGGCTTTGCAGGGGTGCTTCAAAGACACCTACTTTGGAATTTAGAGAAGCACACACAGTGATGTAGACGGTTGAAAAAGGAACATCATCTGTGACTGTCACTTTTACCTGGAACAATGCTAAGTTAGCACACATTAACTGTCAGATTTGAGAGGGGGTGCCCGGCTGTGTTCTGGCTCCCTGTCTTCAACACTGGGGACAGTTGGACCTCCGCGTTATCTCACACCCCTCTGATGGGGGTGGGGCCTTTGAGACATGGCTACCCCTGGAAGAGGGGTAGTTCTCCCCTTCAGAGCCGGTACCCTTGGCAGCTCGCACGTGTAATTGTTTCATGAAATTTTTATTCTTTGGCTTGTTGCCTTCTAAAATTGTTAATATAAGGAAGTGAGGTCATCTAAATGTGGTATCTCGTAAAGTCACTGCTTAGGCAGCTTAATGTAATGCAGAGTGCAGCCGACCAGGAATCTTAAGGACGTTTGCATCCTGGCTCACTCCTTTCTGACCTTGGGCAAGTCACTGTATCCTGTGTGTGCTGAGCCTCTGTCCAGGGTGAGTGACACCAGCCTCTGACAGGGCCATTAGGAGGATCAAACAGGCTACCACGCAGGGAAGCCTTCTGTGGAGCCTATAAAATGAACACAAGTATTGTGTTCAAATTGACTTTGTATGTTGAATGAGGATCTTTAATACTCAAAACAAACTCCAGAATGATGAACAACACTATCCGCCCACCCACACTTCCTAGTCTAAGTTTGGCGTCTTCCTCCAACTCAATTTCTTGAGAACCCACTATGTTCCAAACAGTGTCTTTTAAGAGACAGTTGGTGTAGGAGCTTTCTTGAAAAAAAATTCTTTTTTTTGGGTAAAAGTTTCTGAGCCAGGGGGCCTCTGCAGTGAGCTTTGGTCATAGATATTCAAGTCCTCATCTGCCCTGGTGATGTAGTTAAATCTCTAATTGTCCTGTCGGCAGTTTTACTCCCCAGAAAAGCATTCCTGGCAGACGTTTGGCCCAAGAGCGTGGTCTCTAACTGGGAGAAAATCATTTTTATCTGAAATAATGTGTACAGGTTCTTTTTATGTGAAAATGATCAAGAACAGTTTTTGACCATTCTTCCTGTTTTTGTATTTGTTCAGTAGTTGGATATGTTACTGAAACTTGAAGGCACAGGAGTTCACATTTAGGTTGTAAAAAGTGACGCATGTTGTGTGTCTGCCACTTAGTACATGCCGAGGAGTTATGGTTTGTTTAATTCAATGTATTTGAGTATGCGTGTGCACCATGTGTACAGGTTTGTCCAGCGAGTCAGTCTAGTATTCGTTTGTTGGGAGACTTTGCCCATGCTGTTTAAAGCAGAGTTTACTTGTATTGATCTCTGTAGAAACACAGAGCAGATTGCCCCTTCTTTGATACCTCATTGGCCTTTTGTCCTGCACGTTGCTTTCTTGTATTTCCACGGTTAACGGGCAGAGTTGGCAGCCTGGTTTCATGCGAAGAAGAGGCTCTTGAAGTCCAGCAGCTCTGAGCCTGGGAGTTTGAGCCCTGTTACCTGTTTGTTATGTAATCTAGGTGGATCTCAGTGCCTCTTTAACGAGGCTAGTGTGCGAGTTCCACGTGGGAATGAATGTGGGGCTCCCAGCACCGTGTCTTCCACGTGATAGCTCAGTACATGATGGTTACTAGTTGCGATGGCCAAGTTTGGCACCATATTCTTGAGTTCCGCTCTCCTGTGTCTCTGAGACTTTCAGCAGGTGAGGTAGAGAGGGAAAACTGCCATCTGATGGAGCATCGTTTAGCCAGGTTCTGTGTTTCAAAGGGAAGCTCTGGCTTGGAGCCACTGTTCATAACTTGTGAGGAGAGCCTCATGCATCAACTCAGGAGGTGAAGGAATATGGGCGGCTGGATGGAGAGTGTCTCGAGGAGCCGCAGCCTAGGGGAGAGCAGCACAGGGGCCCCTGTCACAGATCCTTGAGGACAGGTGATGCTGTAGATTAGGTTTGTGTGTTTGTCCCGTTCCTCGCCACCTCAGTGTTCCCAGAAATTCTTCACACTGCAGCGTGGACTGGGCACGAGCTGTAAGGCAGAGCTCTCAACCAGAGCTCCCGGCCCTTGTGAGCCACTGACAGGGATGTATTTCAGCCTGATTTTGAGTCACCAACTCACAGATCATCTCTCTATCCAGCTCCATCCCTTTCCAGGGCAGGAAGTAGATCTAAAAGGATTAGGTGACAAGGTCTCACAACTGGATTAAAATCCTGTTCTAACTCGCAGACCAAGGTCCGTTTTTCAGAAGCCTACCCCTCACACCGCACTCCCCATGCTCCAACAGGTTTCAGCTCACGTGTTCTCAGATTTTAAGATCAAAACTCTCAGTTTTGGGACAGAAGCAAAAAAAGGGGGCGGGGTGGTTGTTGGCTGAAAAGAAAATAGTAGCTGCCCTTTATTGTGGCTGGAAACAGTGGTGACTCAGAGAGGTGACCATGACAACTTTAGAAGGAGCCATACTGATGCTTTCTTCCTTGAATGAATAAGCAAGTAATAGGATTAGGGGTTTCAGCAAGATGCAGCGGTATC